GTGCATTAGGCACTGGGGGCAAAGCAGAAAACACAATCCCTGCCCTTCCACTCTCCCTCATAGAAGTGGACACAAGAGACAAGAAATGTTGCAAGGTGATGCATGTTGCAGACACACAGGGAGTGGGAGGGAGTCTGATTCTAGGCTGAGTTATCCTGCAGCTCAGTAGGCCGTGGGAAGTGGCTATCAGCTCCTGGGTGGGTTTATGATCTGCCCCAGGCTGCTGGGCTTATAGGCTGTGAGGGCAGACAGAAGGTCACAGGGAGGGGACTTGAGGCTGCTGGCAGGGAGAATGCCAGGGGCGTCTCTCAAGGGTGAGACCAGGAGGAAACCTGGCAAGGAGGCATTGAGAAAAGGCCTGGCCAGGCCGGTGGCTGGCAGTCAGGGGTGGTCCTAGAAAGTGCCCCCGAGGAGGAAGCAAGGGCAAGGTCTCATGACCAGCAGCTAAGAGGTGACAGACAGTGTGGGGAAGTGGGGGTCACACAAGGCGGCTGCCCTGGGAAATGGAAGGGATGGGAATGTGGAGTGAGATCCAGACCCAGGCAGGGGAAGGAAGGGTGGGTGTGGTCATTGTGCTGGAGGCTGCGGGAGCCAAGCCCAAGGGTGGAGGAAGAAGCCGGTGGGAAGCTGGAGATTGGAAATGTGGAAAAAAAGAGGAGATAAGTAGGGGGCACAGGAGCCTGGGAACATGGAAGGGCCAAGGACCCAGCAGACAGGAAGAAGGCGGGCTCCTTCCTCCATCTCCGCCAGGGAGAAGGGCGGGTCCTGAGAGACCCTGCCCTGTGGGGAGAGGGACAGGAGGGCCTCTGTTAACACAAGCGCCCAGTACTGGCTAGCCATAAACACCGTGAATGCACATCTGTGCAACACACCACGTGCACACCTACACACAGATACTCACGTACATACACGCACATGCCTTTGTTGTGAATTCTGCAAAACCACATCACTTGCAAGCTGGCATGCAAACTCTGGAAAACAGCCCTGGGCTAGCCCTCAAGCCTTATGATGGGAGAGTTATGCAGGGTGGAGGAGGGAAAGGCCAGCGGTGAGGCCAGGGGAAGTGGCCTCCCATTGGAGGCCAGGAGTCCTGGATCCAGTCCCCAGCTGGTCGGCTCATGGCCTGGGTGACCCGTTGGTGACTCTGTGGCTTGAAGAGTAGAAGTGCACAACATCCATGCTGCCAGCAATCAGCCCTGGGGGTGTGGGGAGACGTGGGGAGGAGGGGAGCTCGCTTCCTTTGTGCCAGCTCGTTCTCTGCAGAAATGCCAAGCCAGGAAACCCCCTCATGCACCCTGACCCTCAGCATCCCCTTCACCCAGACACGCACATGCACACACACACACAGTCCCCCAAAGCCCACCTCAGCTCCACCGGGTGCTTGAGCTCCACTCCCTGCCCCTCCTTGCTGCCCCTTCCTGTGTACCTGCTCAACCAGAGGTTGTGGCTTGCATCCCATTTGCCTCTACTGTCCCCATGCCTGTTCTTGTTCCCTGGCCTCTCTGGGGACACTTGTTTGGCCACGGCAAGACTGTCCTGGAAGAGGCTCTGGGAGGAGCCAGCCCAGCAGAGAGGCAGAGGGCTCTGCCTAGCTTCTGGTGACAGCCACCAGCGCAGAGGCCCACCGCGCTCTGGTTGCCAAAGCCTGGTTACCAGTCTCCAGGAGATTTGAATCTTTCCTTCAGGAATTCCCACCTGCTGGGGGGAGAGATTGTGCTGGGAGGCAGCGACCCTCAGTATTACCAAGGCAACTTCCACTACGTGAGCATCAGCAAGACCGGTTCCTGGCAGATCACCATGAAGGGGTCAGGAATTGCAACCTTCCCCATACTCCACACTGCACCCCCACCATGCAGCTTCTCCTGGGGTGCTGGGGAGGAGGGAGGGTATCGTCCATCCCCCCTCCAGATGCAGCCATTCCATAAAGCACAGTCTCTCCATTGCTCTGTCCATGTGGGGGAAGGGCCACCAAGCACTTTCCCTCCCCTACTCACATATACCTCACCCCAATGCATCATGGCACCACCAATGTAGCCTCCCATCACCGGCCCCCACTTGGGAAATCTCTGGAACCCAGAGGTGCCCATCAGCCCATCCTTGGCCTACCCAGGGTGTCTGTGGGTTCAGCTACCTTGCTGTGTGAGGAGGGCTGCATGGCGGTGGTGGACACTGGTGCATCCTACATCTCGGGGCCCACCAGCTCCCTGAGGCTGCTCATGGATGCCCTGGGAGCCAAAGAACAGAGCTCGGATGAAGTAAGACACAGAGGCGAGGGGGTGGGAGGGAGGAACCTGAGATGGGCATCCTCTGGTCCAGGCCCCCCAAATCATCCTGGGAGCAACACTGGGTCCTCCTCCCCAGCCCTCACCCTGTCCTCCCCCACCCCTTTGTCCTCCAGTATGTGGTGAACTGCAACCAAGTGCCCATGCTCCCCGATGTTTCCTTCCACCTGGGAGGCAGGGCCTACACGCTCACGAGTACGGACTATGTGCTACAGGTGAGCTGCAACAAGGAGGGGCAGGTACAGGTTCCGTGCCAGGCTGAGAGCTGTGCCTGTCTGGGGTCAGCAGCTAAGGTGACTTCCAGCCCCCAGAGGCAGCACCAGGGCCCATTTGCTTCTTTGCTTGCTTGTCCCCACCAACAGCATAGTCTATGAGGGGTGAAAAGGACGGGAGGGGAGGGGGATATGGAAGTCCCGAGGGTGAGGGGAATGGACTAAGGAGGTAGGGGTGAGGCCAGGTGAAGAAGGGGACACTCTGATTCCGGGCACTGGGGAACCCCTGCCCCCTATTTCCTGCTAGGACCCCTACAGTCATGATGACCTGTGCACCCTGGCCCTCCATGGCTTGGACATCCCTCCTCCCACCGGACCTGTGTGGGTGCTAGGTGCCAGCTTCATCCGCAAGTTCTACACCGAGTTTGATCGGCATAATAATCGCATTGGTTTTGCCTTGGCCCGTTGAGGCCGGAGCTGGAGTGCACCCCCACCCCCCTGCTTGGGCTTATGTTCTTACAAGGGACATTGGGCACGGAGCTCCGGCTGGACACTTGCCCGGCACCCCCCTGCACTCTGCACCAGCCCTGCCCTTCTTTAAGGACCAAGAATAAAGACTGTTCACAACCCGTTCACAATCTGGGTTCATTGGGGTTTGGAACAGAGGGAGAGGCGGCTGCAGGATCCTGTGTGGATAAGAATGTGACACACAGACTGACAAACCACACAACAGGCCCCTGCCTGCAGAGGCAATGCCACCTCCTGCTGTCAGCAGGACTCAGGAAGAGTTGTTTATACACCCTGGAGTGGAGAGATGCAGACAGCCAGTCAGGGGGTCCCACGAGACCCTGGGGGACCAAGGCCAGTGCTGGGATGCATCAGCTCCCAGCTTAAGCTTTGCAATGCTGAGCCCGCCAGCCCTACCTCTGCACCTGCCAAACTCCCCCCTGCCCTGCTCCTCATCCTCGGCAGGGGCCCCTGCCCCATGGAGCCCCACCCACACAGGCAGTCTTTGGCAGCAGCACCCAAAAAGGCAGAACATCAGAGCCCCAGCTAACACGCCCACTTCACATGTGGGGAAGCGGGGGCCCAGAACGCGGGAGGCCTTTGCCCAGAATCACACAGTAAAGACACAAGTGATGAGGAATTCTGAAAGCTGCTGGAGGATCAAGGCCAGGATCCAGCCCGTCTCCCTGGGTTCTGGGAGCTTCCCACCTGGCCACACGGGCTGCATGCATGCACACATGGATGGCACTCGGGGTCCTCCACGGACACACCCCCCACCCCCACGCTGTCCTGTAGGATGTGTGCAGCCTGAAGACTGAGAAAGCAGCTCTACCCGAGGCCAGCTTGGCTCTGTTTCTCTTTTTTAAAACTTTGCTTATTTTCATTTGAAAGGCCTCCTTCTGCTGCTTACCCAGGTGCATTAGCAGGGAGTTTGATGGGAAGTGGAGCAGCGGGGACGGTGACTGGTGCGCCTAGATCACAGGGGAGGCCACAGGCCAGCAGCCAGCATTGCTGCAACAGGAGCTGTCAGTAGTGTCTCACTCCCACCCCCTGCCGGGGCAAAGCATGGACTTGGGCTTCAGGACCCTGGGCTGTCACCGACTGGCCACATGCCCTCGGGCTGGTGACTTCACTTCCTCCTTACATGAGCCTGTCTTCTAGTTTCCTGCACTGCACAGAGTGGCAGCCCCACATGGCTATGCTGAAACGCAATCAGTTAAGGCGCCACACGTGGCCAGGGGCCACTGCTGGGGCAGTGTAGCTATTTGTGTCATCATATTAGCTTGATCAGGCAGAGCTGGGTCCTGGACGGCAGCAGTTATGGGGACCTTGTGGTGGTGAGGAGGGCTGGGGGCTAGGGGGTTAGTCTGAAACGGTAAGCAGAATCCTTGACCTCCTTCCCAAGAACCAGCACAGGGCTTGCCCTCCTCCCACTACAAATACCCATGTGGCGGGAGTTCCGGACACCTGGGTGCTCACTGCCAATCACATTTTAAAGTCTTTAGTGACCAAAGCTCACTCTTGCTCAAGATTCTGGCACCCTGGCATGCCCGGTTGTCCTGCCTGCGGGACAGTCCACTCTAGCACAGGAAGTGAATGTGTAGGTGTGTGTTGAGGGGGTGGGATTGCTCAGAGACCCTCTCCTGGGTACAGCCTTGGGGGCGCTCCCTGGGCCGCAGCCCGGGACAGTGACGCAGAGGGGCGCGCCCAGGCTGCAGTCTTGCGATCTGCGGGTCTCCACATTTTGGCACCAGGCGGGGGCGCAGGAAGAGCAGCAGCCGGAGTGCGCGCCCCCCATCCCCAAGGCGGGACCCGGGGCCGGGGCGGGGCGGGACGTCCGCAGCCCCCGCCCCTCGCTGCGTCACGGGCTCCGGGGGACACCGCCCACTCCGCGCTCCAGGTAGCGGCCGGCGTGGCTGCCCGCGGGGGGCAAGCGGTGCTCCCCGGCGGCCGGGGGGCGTTCCCGAGGCCGGCGCCCGTGATGTCACAGCTGCGGCGGGCCGCGGCGTCCCCGGGCCGGCGGTCGGAGCGGGCAGCGGGCGCCTGAGTCATGGACTTCCCTTGGCCCCTCCTCTGCCGCCGCCCCTCCCTCGCCCGGCCCGCCCGCCGGGGCTAAGGCGGGCGCGGCGCTCGGGCGCCCAGGGGGTGGGGCTGCCGGGCATGGCTGCGCCCCCGTCGGCTCCACTGCCGTGCTCGCCTTTTTACCTGCGGGGGCAGGAGCCGAGCCCGAGCTGCCCATGGGGCATGGAGGAGGAGGCGGCGGTCGGCGCGGGCTGCGCGGAGCTTCTGGGCCCCCAGCGGGCCGCCTCCGTCCCGTGTTTTGGCATCTCGGTGGACCAGGACCACATCCTGCCCGGCGCCCTGCGCCTCATCCAGGAGCTACGACCACATTGGAAGCCCGAACAAGTTCGTACCAAGGTAACCGAGCGGGCCCGGCTGGGCCCTGCGGGGTGGTGTGGGGCCGTGTGTGCGTGCATCCTTCCGGGCGCGGGTCCCAGGGGTACGTGGCTGTGGCGGCGGGGGAGAGGGAGATAGGAAGGCGGAGTGTGTGCGTGTTGGGGTTTCCATCTGCAAAGCTGGGCGCAGTCCCCCCACCCCCGCTCAGCGCCCAGGGCCACCTGCCTGCTGTCAGCACACAGCGCGCCCGTGCCCCACCTCCTTGTCGCTTCGGGCTGGTGCCCCTCGCGACTCAACCCACTCTGAAACGCGAGCAGATGGGAACTTTTAAGGGACCCCCCCCCCAAAAAAAAACGCACGCATGCATTTCTGGCTCTTCTCCTCCCTAAGATGGGATCAAAGCCGCTTGGAGATCTCAGAACCCTCTCCAGGACGCCTTTGCCTTCCCAGCTGGGCACAACCTCTAAGATACACCCCTGGGCCGCGCCTCCCCCGAAGGAGCCCCTGGCTGACGCCCCCAGCTGCTCTGCCTTCCCCAAAGAGCAGAAAGAGCTTTCACCTGCCCACCCGCCCTGTGCCTTGAGCTGGCTGCCTGGAGAGGAAGTGGCTGAGTTGTGTGCTTGCAACTTAGGCTGGTGGGGCGAGGGAGGGGTCTTCTGCCATGCCTTGCTGGATAAGGAGAAAGGGAAGGCAAAGTTTTGGAGCAAGTGCCCAGGCTGCTGATGCCTGCCGGGGGAGAGGGTAGCATTTTGCGGGGAAAGGCCCGCCTTAGGTCAGGGCATCCACCAGTGAGTGCCTCCCTTCGCTGGGCCTCGTTTCCCCTGCTAGATTGGCTGCAGCTGTGCTCCCCCAAAAGTGGGTGTCTCCCTCTTCATTATCACCTTGGCAGGAGAGCCAGTGCTCCCCAGCCCAGCTGTGTCTTCTGGAAGGCCCCAAGGACCTCTGACCCCTGGAGTCCTGGGCCGCGTGCTACCTTGGGGCCGGCCCTCTGAGAGGTACAGCCCTGCTCTGTTGTCTGGTCCACAGCAGTTTATCTCAGGGCCAGGATGGAAGGAAAGGAGGAGAGGGCTCCTGCCCTTCCTGCCCCACCCAAATATGTTCTCCCGCTACCAAATCCCAGCACTGGGAGGTAGAGCCCAGAGGAGCAGGTGTACCTACATCGTACCCAGGCTGCCAGTGTTGTGTCTGAGTCTCTAGCCACCAAAGTTGGGACAGTGCTGAGTTGTACAAGGGAGAGATGGGGACTGGGGAGGGGGCTGTTTCTGGGTGGTTTGTGCTCCTTCTCCAAGGAGGAGCCCCTCCCTCCCTTCCCCCTCCACCCACACACTGCCCCTCCCCGCCCTAGCGCTTCACTGATGGCATCACCAACAAGCTAGTGGCCTGCTACGTGGAGGAAGACATGCGGGACTGTGTGTTGGTCCGGGTGTATGGGGAGCGCACGGAGCTGCTGGTGGACCGGGAGAATGAGGTCAGGAACTTCCAGCTGCTGCGGGCCCATGGCTGTGCCCCCAAGCTCTACTGCACCTTCCAGAACGGGCTGTGCTATGAGTACATGCAAGGTGTGGCCCTGGGGCCTGAGCACATCCGGGAGCCCCGGCTGTTCAGGTGAGGAGGGGGCGTGGAGGTCTTGGGTTCACTGTGGCTCACGGCCACGCAGAAGCACGGTCATGGGCATGCGGTAGGGATGTGTGCGTGTTGGCGGGCACTGCTCTGCCGGAGAGGCTGTAGCTACCTGCCAAGGTTTGGCCAGTGGGAGGAGGCCCGGGGTGGGGGATGAGAGACTGAGTTTGTTGGTGAATGTGGGACTGTCAAGCCTGGCTGCTGAGGTACAGAAGTCTGCCTCCTGGCTCCGTGCCTCCAACCTTTGCTCACCCCCAAGTCTGATCAGGAAGCATCGTAGGGTCTGGGAGGTAGAACCTGAGCCCAGTCCTCAGGATACACAGGTGTGTCCCGACCTGCCAAGTGCAAAGCCAGTGGGCCCTATCAGGCCTGTGTGTGGTTTTGCTAACCCAGGCGAGATGGCTGCTAGTCTCCACTGGTTCAGGCATCCAGTTTTGGGGAGTTTGTTTGGGGTACCCCTGCAGAGGAATAATGCCTGGCTGTGTAGGGCTCAGACCCCAGGCTTCACCTTGAAGCTCTGTGGATCCCTCTGTCGGGCCCAGGTGAGAAGGAAGGAGGGCATTGAGTGCACTCTGCACTCTGCTAGGCCAGGGCAGGCATGCCTCCTTCCCCATGCGGGTCATGATGCTGACCCACAGGGAGGGCATTCGGACTTTAGCTGAGGTCTGCGGCCCACACTGGGGCCAGCAGCCTGGCATGTATCTGAGACCCTCGGATTCTGCCCTGTGTAGTCCGAAGGGAAGTTGACCTCTGTGTGCTGGGCTGGACCTGGAAACTCTGTCCCCTCTGCTGCCACTCAGTTAACTCTAAGCAGGTGCACCTGGCCCTATGGGATTTAAGAGGGAGTTCGGGAGCCCCTGCAGGCCCCTAGGGCCTGGGAGGTCCAGTATTCCCTTTGAGATGTGTGTTGCATCTGGGGGAGGCAGATGCACGTGTGCAGGGGGGCTGTTCAGGCTCCAGGTGAGCAACTCCAAGCGCACCAGGTCTGGGGACATGAGGTCGGGGGCCCTGTCCTGTCCTGGCATCTCCCAGCTCCCCGCCTTGTCACATAAGCTCACATCTTGGCAGGTTCCTACCACTCCCAGTCTCCCTCCCTTCTGAATCCCTGGCTGTCACTTATCCTCCCGTGGAAACAATTACTATTGTCAGGAAGATTAAAGATGAATTTCAGTTTGACAAGCAGAACTTAGCATCTGGGGGTAGAGCTAGAAAAGGGAAGCATTTGGATGGGGATCCTTCTAGGGAAGGTAGAGATCAGAGGGAAACACCTTGGCGGGGGGTCCCCTGAGCCCACCCCTTGCCTCACCCTGCTGAGGCTTCCCGGTGTAAAACTGCTGAGTGTTGAGGTTACTTTCATTGCTATTCCAGACAACAGTCCTATTGATATTCAAGGGAACGCTGTGCTCCTGCTCTGGTCCCAATCTTCCCTCTGGGAAGGGAAGGCCTGAAGCTCAGGTCTGATTGTCTGCCTGGCCCAAGCCCTGGCCAGCTGGCTCCCTCCGGGCCACTGGCCCATGCAAGCCTGAGTCTGCCCTCTCTGACCCGCTGCTGCCCTCTGCCCCCTCCGCCCTTTAGGAGATGGGAGCCAGAAACTGCCCCGAGGTCTCTGGGTTGGGGAGCCTGGCAAGGGGAGGTTGTTTCTGGGGCTGCTCAGGAACAAGATTTCAAACACCGGTGCTTTTGTTGTCTCAGTGGGCGATGTTGATTCGAGCCATAAGCAGGGGCAGAGGAAGCCAAGGAGCTTGAGCGCTGGAGGCTGGCCGATGACTCGGGGGAGGGCTGGGAGAGTCCAGCTGGGTCTTCTGGGTGCTGGGGTCCTTATCAAGCTTCCCCCCCTGCCCCCTCCAACACACACACCCTCTGACCGGTCAGTCCTCCGTCCGCCCCCACCCTCTCCCAGAAGCCTTCCCTACCGCCCACTTCTCCTCTCCTGGGACCTTGGATAGCGTCCACTGGAGAACTTGAAAATAGAAAGCTGGCTTGTTTTGCGTCCTTGGCACCCAGCCGCCAGCATCAACTCCCCGTGGCTGAGGAAGGGGCTGCCCAGGGCCAGCCTGCTGGCTTCCCTCCCCACCTTGGCCAAAGCTGATAAGAGGCGGGCATTTCTTTCCCACCCCCTGGTCTCTCAAAACAAAGTGGCCTGAGCTCATCATGCCTCTCCGAGAACGGATCAAAGTCCAGGGGACAGGAAAGACGCCTCCACTGCTCCCCGCCCTGTCCTGGGTGCCCCTCTATCTTTGGGGCTTGCTGTGGGTGCACTGCCACCACATTGACCTGTGGCCAGCTGCTCATGGCTCTGCTGTGCTCCCTGGAGGGACCTCATCTCTGAGACTGGAGAGAGACCTGAGGCTGAGAGTTGAATTTCATCTTCATGCCCGGCTCATGAGCACCCACACCCGGCCCTCTGGCCTGCCTGGCACTGTTGTTCTCCTGTTTTCTGCTGCAGGTTAATTGCTTTAGAGATGGCAAAGATTCACATGATCCACGCCAACGGCAGCCTGCCCAAGCCCACCCTCTGGCACAAGATGCATCATTATTTCACACTCGTGAAGAATGAGATCAACCCGAGGTACCAGGGCCTGGGAGGGTCCAAGGCTGCCGCTGTGTGGGGGGAGCTGGCCAGCTCCTCCTTCAGCTCCACCTCCTGCTGGTAGAACTGGGCCTGGGCCGTGTGAGCAGCTTGAGGCCTCACACACTTTCTTTTCTTCTTTTTTTTAAAATCTTTGGGAAAGTCAGATTTACAGAAAGATCTTCCATCTGCTGGGTCACTCCCCAAGTGGCCACATCGGCCAGGAGCAAAGCTAATCTGAAGCCGGGAGCTTCTCCCACATGCGTGCAGGGTCCCAAGGCTTTGGGCCGTCCTCGACTGCTTTCCCAGGCCACAGGCAGGGAGTTGGATGGGAAGTGGAGCAGCCAGGATATGAACCAATGTCCATATGGAATCCCGACACATGCAAGGCGAGGACTTCAGCCACTAGGCTACGGTGCCGAGGCCACCTTACAGGCTTTCTGATGGTGGTACGGACTTGTCCCTAATGCTGAAGATCCATGAGGGAGTTTAATCCCATGTCATGGGGCTCCACAGGGTGTGTGTTTCTCAGACCTTGGCTCTTTCCATCCGAGCTGCCTCTGGAACAATGAGAAAGGCCAGGTCCCCTGGGAATGGGGTGGGCCCGTGGTCAGACTCAGAATTCACTCTGCAGCCAGGAAGCCCTTGGGCAGCCCTGAAACACCACCACCACCCCAATGTCCTCTTGTGCCCTTGGGCCTGTCACCCTGCTCCATGCCAACCTACAGCTTTACTATTTTCCTACATGGGCCTTGGCAGAGGAGTGGGGTGTCCCCATCCTGCTCCCCTGGCCAGCACCCCAAGAGAGCTGCCAGCCTGCCAGAAGCCAGACTCCACATCCGAGTCAGGTGGCTAGAGGCATGGGGGAGGATCAGTGTCACCCCCTGAAAGAGACCCTAGTGAGGCTGTGCCCACTGCATCACACTGGCCTTGAACCTCCCCTGGAGAAATGCATCATGCATGTGTAGGGACATCATGAGGTTTCCACGCACGTGTGCAGTGTCAGGCCGGGGCGGTAGTGAATCCACGGCAGCACACGCACAGGTTGTTGTTTTGGGTCAGAAAGCTTCAGAATGTACCCTGCTATCTGTGCCCAGGAGTGTTTGTCCAGCACCGCCCATGCCTGACCCCATGGTGACCACGTTCAGGCTTCCTGTGCCATGTGTTTTCTGGGATGGGCAGTGCCGCCTCCCTTGGATTAGAGTGGCATATGGGAAGTGGGACCTTCTCATCCCCACAGCTCACCTCTTTCGGTTGACAGATAGGAAAACTGACGCCCAGGCAGGCAGGAGATGTCCCATTGCCAGGGACACCTCGGATGCCCCCGATGCTCTGGCATGATCCTGGCCATTGCTGCTCCTCTCAGGGCACTGGCCCTGGGTGACCCTGGGGAAGAACCAAGCTGGCCATACTTTTGAACCTTGGTCTCCCTTGAACTCTCTTTGGAGGTTGGTTCGTGCCCTATGCCACCTACAGTGGGGCGATGACGGGCAGTCACTTAGTCCAAGCAGGGGAGCACCTGGGCTGCAGACATTGCCTCATAACCCTGAATCACTCCATTCTTCGTGTGCAAAAAGTCAGCTTGATGTATGCCTGCCCTCAGGAAGCTTAGGGGCTGGCTGAGTACACAAGTCGTGCCCATACATAGCTGGACAAGGTGGGGGTGCTTGTGTAGGATAGCTGGGTAAGTCTCGCTGGCAGAGGTGTATGACAGCTTGGGGCAGCTGGGGCAGGAGGTGTGCTCCTGGGGATGATTGGCCAGGGCATATCTTCAGGGCACCTGGGAAAGACTGTGGGAGACAGAGCTGGAGGGCTGCATTGCCACTCCTTGGTGGGTGAGGAACCTTGAGTGCCAGGCCAAGGAGCCAGGATTTAATAGTGGCAGTGTAGAAGGAAGCCATGAAGATGCCTGAGCCGGGGCCTCAGGTCAGGAGCCCGCCCAGGCCTGCATTTTGGGAAGGTAGCTTATCTAGTGCAGGGAGAGTTTGGGTGGAACAATAAGCAGGTGGTGGATCTGAGCGGACCAGAACAGCTGGGAGACTGTTGCCATAAAATGGACTAGGACTGGGGTCTAAGAGCCCAGCCTAGCCCAGCCCTGGGGATGGGTTGGCAGGTCTTGAATTTGAGCCCTGGGAATCTGCATTTTGATGGGCTCTCCCTGGTGACTCTGAGGCGGTTAACTGAGGACCCCCCCCCTCCCCCCACCGTCAAGGAGCCTTGCCTTCAGGCTGGGAAGGGGCTAGAGGATGTGCTGGAGACCCCTGCAGGCACATCCAGTAGTCTGGAAGTTGGGCTGGCTGTGTGGAGGGGTATGCAGTGGCCAGGAAGTGCTGGGCTGGGAAGCCGGGACACGTGGGGAGATGAACCTTTTACCCATCCTAAACCTCAAGAACTCACCATTCGCCAAGAGTTCCCTGAGGAGTCCCCAGCCCTTTCACCTCCTCCTGCCATCTCTAGGGCTGTGGCCACCCTTCTGCCAACTCCTTAGCCTTGGAAGTGCCAGGGGCTTCAGGGCTGGCCACTGGCCACATTCCAAGTGCACGTAGTGAAGGAGGTAGGGGGAGTGGCCAACTGGCGAGCAGGCCTGGTGTGTTCCCACAGTAAGCAGCTCCATGGCCTTGGGGTGGGCGGTACCGGGGTCGGACAGAGGTCAGGGACTGAGCCGCAGGCTTCTGGGATGTCAAGGCCTGGGCCTGGACAAAGCAGAGGAGGCCTTCTAATTCTTATCTCTCCGTGGTTTCAGGCCAAGAGGAAAGAGAGCAGTGAAAGAAGAGACGCTACCTGGGGGAGGTGGCGGCTGCTCTGGTGGGGTGTGGAGGCATAGTGCAGATAAACTTCTAGAGGGGAGGTTGGGGGCGTGTCCTGTGTCACCCACCCCAGTGTTGGGGAGGAGCTTCTAGGGGCCCAGGTTGTTTGGGGAGCCTTGGTCCAGTGTTGGATTCTCAAGCTAGGGGTTCCACTGAAGTCCCTCCCCTTCGTTGAGACTCAGTGTCCCCATGGGGTAGGTCCAGATGACCTAAGACTGCCATGACCTTGGTTTCCTTAGAGCCAGTGGAGCCCGACTATCCTTCCCTGTCCAGAGCGGCCAGAGCATGCTGCGATGGCTGAACTCCACCCACACTCTGTCCATGGGCAGTGGGAGAGGGCAGGCCACCCTCCCGCCCTCCTGTGTGTGTTCCCGCTGTCCCTGATGAGATGCCAGCCCTCCCCCTCTGCCAGTCCTTGGCCTCTGAGGGCTATACTGGCTGTTTGACTTTTTTCAGTGCATACAGAGCTGTGTGCATCCTTGGGGACAAAGTGCAAGGCCTGCCAGCACAGCATGTCTGTGTCAGACGTCCACGCAGCCCCTGATGGCGTCATCGATTGGCCAAGCCAGTCATCTTCAATGCGTGGAGCCGCAGTAGCTGCTGTGAGCATGGGCTGGGGGCCAGGGGGAGAGGTGGCCGCTGTGCCCTTTTGTTCTCGCTCTCATGTTGCCTGTGCACAGTCTGGCTGAGCCCTGGGGCGGGGGGACCCATGGCTTCTAACCCAAACAGTATCCTGGGAGCAGCAGCTGCACAGGCTTGAGCCTTGAAAGTCCTTGGTGTCCCTGTGGTGAGCCCAGCACATGTTAGTGTGTGGCCCAGCGTGGGCTAGCCTGGTCTGCTTGCAGGGTGAAAGCTTCTGGACCCTTTTTCCACCTGTGATGCTGTCAGCTGCAGGTGTGGGAGGAAGGCATGCCTGGATCAACCTGTGTGGCCTCTGGGGTGCTGCTCCTCTCCACAGGAGAGGCTTATCTTGGAGGGTGACGCCTAGACCAGGGCTTGCTGAGTGCACCTCCCCACCCCTTCTGTCGGCTTTGTTCCTCTGCCTGGGGTTGACTCTGAATGCTGGTTCTTTCCTCTACTGCCCTTCCCTTCTTGTCCGTTCCACAGAGTGGCCGGGATGTCATTGGCAAATGGTCTTGCCTTTTCTTTTTTAGGGGGAGGAGGGATAGAGAGAGTGCCTATCCTCTTTTTTGCTTCCCAAATGCCCCTGATGGCCCTACTGAGGCCAAAGCCAAGGGCTAGAAGCTTGACCCAGGTGTGGGAACTGACTGCTTGACCTGCTCCCTCCCCAGGTGTGCATTAACAGGAACCTGGAGTCCGAAGTGGAGCCAGGACTTGAACCAGGCACTCCAGGATGGAAGGCGGGTGTCCCAAGCAGCTCCTTGACCTTCAAACACCTGCCCCACTCCTGACAGCTTTATGCTGTGCCAGTTGCTTTCATGGCCTTGTTTCCATCGGCTTCTTGGTGTAGCCACAGGAGTCAGAAGTTCCCAAAGCCTTAGTGTCAGGTGATAAATGATGAGGACTGGCTAGGTGGGCTGCTTACCCGAGGTCCCCCTACAGCATGTGTGTTGGGGTGGGGTGGGGGGACGGCAAGGCCAGAGCTCAGGGCTGTGGAGCTGAGCACCTGCCTGTCCTCCAGCAGCCCTCTCCCCACACCAGCCGCCTTTTTGCCACTGTCTAGCCTCTCTGCAGATGTCCCTAAGGTGGAGGTGCTGGAGTGGGAGCTGGCCTGGCTGAAGGAGCACCTGTGCCAGCTGGATTCCCCGGTGGTGTTCTGTCACAACGACCTGCTCTGCAAGAACATCATCTATGACAGAGCCAAAGGTACGGCTGCTCCGGCCTCCGGCAGGCTCCCGCCTTCAGGCTGCTGCTCCAACAAGCCAAGGGGTTTAGGCCTTAAGTTAATGTGTAGGGGAAGAAGGAAAGGGAACACAGCTTAGAAAAATCCATTGTAGGGAAAAACTCAAAATCCTGGTTTGTGGAGGTGTTGCACCTTTGGGCACCTGTGCCATGCTGCAGGGTGACAGGCATCAGGGCTGCCCAGAGCTGCTGGGTGTTACCCCCAGGGAGCTTGGCTGCCCTGCAGAATCCACAGGCACTGGCTCTGGGACCATATTCAGATGCCAAACTCCAAGGTTACTCAAATGCCTTGTGTAACATGGAGGTGTATCCGTGTTAACCTCTGCACCACCTGCCACATGCTTTTAACAAATTTGAGAAACAATGATTCCTTTTTTTTTTTTTTTTAATCTGCTGGTTCACTTCTGAAGTGTCTGCACCAGCTGGGAGTGGGCCAGGTTGAGGCCAGAAGCCAGCAGCTCAGTCTGTGTCTTGCATGCGGGTGAAGTGACCAAAGGATTTGAGCCGCCACCTGCTTCCCAGGAAGTACAGGAAGCTGGAAGTGGAGGCCGGACTTAGACCCAGGTGCACTCGTACAGGACATGGGTGTCCCCAGCCGTGTCTCAACCGCTGTGTCCAGCACTGGGCCCCCGTTTCTCATACATTATCTCTGGATGACTTAGCTGGCACTTCAAGCTGTCACCCTATATTGTGCAGAAACCATGACGGGAAACAAAATCTGCGCTTGTTCAGTCTACAGATGCAGTGTTCTTTGCCCCACATACTTTCAATCTGTGGTTGGGTGATTCTGCGACTATAGGGCCCTTGGATTTGTAGGGCTTCCTCTCCTGAGCTTTATTCTGATCCATGGCCATGCTGGGGTCCAGCCATGTGAGGGGCTGGTGGGGACTGGGGGGAGGGCAGACAGATGGCCAAGTGGAAGGAAGTAGCTTAGAAGGGGAGGGTGGGCTGCAGTGGCCAACCGTGTGCCAGAGAGGGGCCCACAAGCTATTTCCAGATCCTACTGCCTATCCTCTACGTCACAGGTCACGTGCGGTTCATCGACTATGAGTATGCCGGCTACAACTACCAGGCTTTCGACATTGGCAACCATTTCAATGAGTTTGCAGGTGAGAGGGGCAGTGCTGGTGTGCCCATGTTCAAGTCACCCTGAGGTCTCGGGTGAGGATCAGGACGGCTGTGGACTTGGCAGGTGTTGGCTGTGGACTTGGCAAGTGTTGGCTACAGCCCACCTCCACAGAGCTGATCTCTGTTAGCCCATGTTGGTGCCCTGGTATACAGTGGGAAAGCTACATGTGCCTGTGAGTACTGGGCTTGGCATGTACAGTAAAATATATATATATATTTGCAAGGTAGAGTGACACACATACACACACACACACACACACACACACACACACTAACTCAGAGCTTATATCCACTGGTTCACTCACAAGATGGCCACTCCAGCCCGAGGCTAGGTCAGGCCGGAAGCCAGGTCTGGAGTCTCCCACGTGGGTGGCTAGGGCCCAAGCACTTAAGCCACTTTCTGCTGTTTTCCCAAGCGCCTTGACAGAGAGCTGGATTGGAAGTGGAACAGTGGGGACTTAAACCCATGCTCTGATTGGATGCTCGCATCATCGCAGGCAGCCATTTAATCTACCAGGCCATAATGCTGGCGGCCCCCTCGGCATGTGGGTTTAAAAAAACCCTTTCCCTGGGCAGATATGGCTTGTGCCAGTGTGGCCCCAGTCATCCCATTGTTAAGCCACTCTGCATGGTCGTTCGTGAGGCCTCTGGCTGTGGAAGTGGTGTAGATCAGGCTCCAAGCAGCTGCGTGCCTGGTGTCCTGAAGACAGCCTCAAGGACAGTGGATACGTGTGTGTGCCTCACACCTGAACTGTAGCTGTGTGACCCTGGGGCAGGCTGCCTCCCTCTCTGTGCTCCCATAAACCAGACACAGGAGGGCAGCACATGCAGTGTCAGGCAGGTGTGCTCTCCTGCAGTGACCGAGGAGCTAGTCGCCGAGATGGAAGGGGCTGGGTGAGGCAGAGGAGACCTTTGTGTAAAGCAAGTGTTGGTAGAATTGTCCAGCCTGCTGGCCCCCAGGCAGCTGATGTAGGATGCTCGGCCCCCGTGGCTTAGGGCAGGTGAGGCAGGTCCAGGCCAGCCACAGCCTGTCCCGGGCCACTCCTATCCCTTCTAGAACCCCAGGTGAGCAAGGCTCCAAAACCCTAATTGTGTTCTCAGCCACCAGCTGCATCCAGGAACCTGGTGGGGGTGCCCCACTAGTCACCCTGGAAGGGGTAATTCATGTTTAGTCCTCCTTGCCTGCTGCCCAGAGTATAAGTGGAAGGTCTTCAGGGGGCAGCCTGATCCAGCTCCCAAGCTGGGGACACAGGAGGGAAGATTTTTCTTTTTAAGATTTATTTACTTTTATTGGAAAGGCAGATTTAAAGAGAAGATAAGAGAAAAATCTTCCAATCACTGATTCATTCCCCAAATAGCCGCAGTGGTGGGAGCTGAGCCGATCCAAAATCTTGGAGCCTCTTTCAGGCCTTCCACGTGGGTGCAGGGTCCCGAGACGTTGGGCCATTCTCTGCTGTCCTCCCAGACAAGAGGAGAGGAAGTGAGCTTGGGGACAGTAGCTCAGTCCTGATCCTGTCATAGGTAGCCAGGGCCACCACTGCTGCTGTGGCCAGGACATGGCTGACGGTGTAGGCAGCTCCAGGACCCACTCGTTTCCCACTGATAAATGGAGAGGAAGGGGGCGCATTTCCAAGGCTAACTGGAGCCCAGGGCTGCTGAGGCCGTGGTTTCAACAAGGGCTTTCTCTGTGCCATGGTCTGGCACACATGGGGAGAGGCAATGGGTCCTGCCACTCTCAGGTCACTGCATCACCCCCCAACCCCCACGCAGTTTGTACCCTTCTCTGCTTTTCTGCATGCCACACAGTGGTAGTGACCCCAGCTGGGGCACAGGGAGAACCATATGCCATGGGCCGCCTGTAGGTGGAAGGAGACGGGATGTACTGAAGGCAGAGCCCTTGCCGAGCTGGAGGCGCCCCTCCAAGTGGTCCCCTTCTCTCTTCCATGCGCTGTGCCCTTCCATGGCAGGTGTGAATGAGGTGGATTACTGCCGGTACCCAGCCCGGGAGACCCAGCTGCAGTGGCTGCGCTACTACCTGCAGGCACAGAAGGGCTCGGCCGTGACCCCCAGGGAGGTGGAGAAGCTGTACGTGCAAGTCAACAAGTTTGCGCTGGTGAGTGAGTGGCTGGGCCTCGGGGCCCAGCCCCGAGGCAGGGCTGAGATCACAGAAGAGGGAATTACAAGAGTTTTATTTTGGTGCTTTTTGAAATCTATGCATGAAAAGGATTGTCCAAAAAAAAAAAAAAAAAACCATGGAAAAATGAAATGTCTTGAGAGAAAATAGTGCATGATTTTTTTTTTATTCCTATTTATTTGGAAAGCAGAAAGAGATGAGTATTTCTTTCTGCTGGTGCACACCCCCAATGTCCTCAACAGTCAAAGCTGGGCCAAGGCAAAGCTAGGGACTCAGAGCCCCATCTGGGTCTCCTACATGGGTGGCAGGGACCCACACACTCCTCGCATCCACAGGAAGCTGGAATGGAGTGGAGCCCTCAGCAGCGACACGTGTGTCCCCCACCACTGTGACAGCTGTCCCACGCACAGGCTTCAGGGTCTTGCTCTGAAATGGACATGCTTTCCTTCCGTGGCCTGCGGAGAGGCCCCTTGTCTTTACGCAGATGCTAGCTCCTATCTCTGCATGCCTCCTGTTTGTCCTTCCCATGCTCTGACCTCAGCCTTTCATGCAGAGTTGAAACTTTCTCTTTTTTCATCCTTGGCCTTTGGAGGAGCTAGAGAATGTCAAGTCCTGCCTTGACCTCCCGCTGCAGCCTCGGCTGTCTTCCAGGCTTTCCTTGACTGCCTACCTCCAGTAGGGCTGCACCGTCAGCTGAGCGCCGTCCACAGTCTCACTGGCCAGACTCACTGATGTCTAGCCACATGTGAGTGGCTGCTGTGGCCTTCAGTGGCCCACTCCCCCATGCCCGCACTTCCCTCATTGGGCGGTGGGGTGGGGAGCTGCAATGTGGGGGACCCTCACCTGAGAGGGGAGGGTGTTGCTGCTGTGTGTTCCCATCCCCTGGGTACTTCCGACAGAAACAGTGCAGTTTAGTTCTTCGTGAAGGCCACACTCGGGGCTGTTTATGCCCAGATGTGATCCAGAAGGCAGGGGCAGAATGGCAAAAGCCAGCTGAAGGATCTTCCACTCTGGCACTCACTGCAACTTGTCACCCCTCCTCTTCCTCCCTACTGGGCAGTGCCATCCTCTCTCCTGTCCACTAGATCTGAGCACGCTCTCAAGGTTTCATCTTGATCTGAAGACACCCTTGGGAAAGGGAGTGGCCTGGGCTGCCAGGGCTGCCCGGGCTGGGGCTGGGGACCTGGGTTGAGCAGTTTCGCAGGCCCCATGAGCTGGCGTTGGTGTCCCTGTGGTGCCCACCCCAGGCACCTGCCATCCACCAGTTCTCAGGGACACAGCAGGCTGACCCTCTCTGCTCTGGTTTCAGGCATCTCACTTCTTCTGGGCTCTCTGGGCTCTCATCCAGAACCAGTACTCCACCATCGACTTTGACTTCCTCAGGTGGGTGCAGGGCCCAGTTGACATGGGGGAGTGGAGATCAAAGAGCCTTGAGCCTGTCCAGGCTGTCATGTCAAAGCCAGCCCAACCCTCTCCCTCTAAAAGCATCCCCTTCCCAGTGGGACAGAGCCCCTGTCACTTAAGGTACACCTTCCCCCAGCTTCTGTGCCCAGTCCTGGTCCTAGAACATGGTGGCGGTCAGCAGGCGAGTCCTGCCTTTGGTCTCCAGTTGGGGGTTAGCCAGCTGCTGGGGCTCCACAGGGAACACCCTCAGACTGCACCTGACTTGAACAGCTTGATATGGGGCACCGTCCCATTCTCCCCATCCGTCAGGGTGGCTGTTAACGGACACAGGTGTTGGCGAGGATGCAGAAGATTCAGAACTCCTGGGTCTGCTGATGGGCAGTGTCTAATGGGGCAGCCGCTGTGACAAACAGCACCAGAGATTTTGAAATTTCATGGGAAAAAATGGTTTGGAGATATGAAATTGTGCATTTTCCCCATGTGCACGGATGATAATCCTTTGCAGCAACATGAAGTTCTCATTGTATTTTCCCACGAATCTTGAAGCACCTGGGTAGGATGGTCCCTCAAAGACTTAACACTCTGATTTCTGTGTGGCTCAGTGGTCCTGCATCTGGTACCCCTCTGGAAGGCTGGAATCGGGGTCCCTCAGTCCTCTGTACCCACATTCGTAGCAACAACATTCATAGCAGCCAAAAGGCAGAGCCAGATGAATGAATGAATGAATGCAGACCACTGGGTCTGCATTCCGACCCATTCCGACTGCATAACCGACACTCGAGCTTTCCTGCCCTCGGCGTGCCTGTCCCTTGAGGATGTTACTGAGCGTACGGTGTTTGCTAACAAACGGTAGTCAAATCTGCAGTCACAGAAAGTAGCACGGGGATTCTTGCAGGGCAGGAGAGGGGAGATGGGGTATGGGGCTGAGTACAGTTTATGGAATCGCTCCAGCCCTCCATGCACAACATGCTGAATACATTTCACTAGAATCAAATGTTTCCAAGAGTAGTATTCCATTCTCAGGAAAATTCCAGCTGAAAACTTCAAGCTGGACAGGCTTGGAGTAGGTGGGATGTTGCCCTGGTCTCCCTGCTCCTTGCCAGCTCCCCTTCCCTATCTTCCTGCAGGTACGCAGTGATCCGATTCAACCAGTACTTCAAGGTGAAGCCTCAAGTGTTGGCCTTGGAGATGCCAAAGTGACCGCCTCTTGCCCTGCCCGGCCTGCCTGGCCACACTCACCCAGCAGAACCGGGCCCTGGGCCCCTCACCCTTGGACAAGGTCGGAGTGTGGGGCACAGTGGGTGTCTGGGGAGAAGGCTGGGCTCCCCGCCAACAGCCCCTAGGGGATGCCTCAGAAGACCTCATTCTCCTGTTAGGAGGGACTGGAAGGACCCAGCTCTGGGAGTCCCCGTCTCCTCACCAGGCCTAGGAGGAAGTGCCTGCAGCCGGCCAGAGCCAGGCCCAATCCACTCCCCATCCCAGCCCTTGCTGGAACTTGGGCTGCCTTAGATGCGTCTCTGACCCTTCCTGGCTTGGGGACAGGGCTCTGTTCTACCTCTAGCGCCTTGAGCCTCCAGTCTGTCCCCACCCCCGCCCCACGTGGCCCACACCAGCATCAGCCAGCTCTGACCAACGGATGTACCAATCCTGGGGGAGGGTGGGGGGCTGGGATGGGGCATCCTGGCTTCCCCAGCAGCCCCCTCACTTTTCTCTAAGCCAGATCCAGTACACCCCTTCCCCTGCAGGTCCGTGCGGAGGCTGGCAAGGGAATGGTGGCCCGTGCCAGTAGCCTCCTGCCCAAGCATCTCCACCTCTACTTTGTTTTGACGTGGACCCCATGGTCTTCCCGCGGTGGGGGTGACCAGGAGTCAAGGGGCAGGCTCTGTGACAGTACTGGCAGAGTGTACTGCCACTGGGGTGGGCACCAGCCCCCTCCTCTGTCGCGAGGGGGACAGGGGTGGGTAACGGCTCTGGCCTATCACATAGTTCATTTGTAAATTATCGTGGTTTTCTGCATTAAGATGCTCACTTCTGAACTGCTCTGTGTGCCCCTGGTGATGGCTAAGATTTGGACTTGGGGAGGGTGAGTCGTGGGGCGGGGGGTGGGTGTAGTGGGGGGGGAGGCCTGCCCTTTCGTGGCTCCCCGAGGGCAGTGCTCGCTCCAGACACAGGCAGATGCGGGGACCTCTGGAGCCTGGCAGTCCTTTCTCAGAAAGGCAGGCAGCAGAAGCGTGCCCAGTGAACTCTGGCTGTTTGGTGTTGGTCTGCTTAAGTGCCAGGGTGTCATGGCAACCATGGGAGCAGGCACCAGCGGCTGGAGCTTTTGAGGTCATGATGACCTTCTGGAGGGGGAGGTGCACACAGAGAAGGCAGGTAGGCAGCCCCCAGGGGTCATTCATGGGGTCAGGTGGCAGGGCTGCAGGTGGTGGTAAAGTTTAGCTTCCTGTCCAGCCTCCTGGAGTTTAGGGCTTTGCAGCTGAGGCAGGAGTGTCAGGGGACAGTGCCCTCAAGACGCAGGCCACTATTTGTACAGGAGTCACCCAGCGGGTAGCCCGTGAGTAGGCAGGTGTGTGGGGTTGGGGTTGGGGGCGTGACAGGCACAGCCTGGAGTCCCCATCCTCGATTTCTTCCAGGCCCAGAGTCCCAGTGCGGTTGGGCTCCCCCCTTGCAGGCCCCCCTGGACCCTCTGCAGGAGCTCAGCCCACTGCACCTGACCCTTGGCGTCTACCACTCAGCCTTCCTAATAGTGGCTGGGACACTGTGTCCCTGGTGTGTCTCCCAGGGGCCAGAGGAGGGAGCATGGTGGAGCAGACCAGGGCAGGAGCTGAAGTGAGCCACTCCCTTGGGTGGCCACTAGAGGGCTGGCGTGTGGGCAGCGAGATTCCTCCCCACAGGGGTGCTTTCCAGCTGCCCAGGGAGGCCCAAGGCACTGGGGCCTGGGCTGGAAACAGCCCCTCCAGCTCCGACTGAGCGGCACAACCTCCAGTTCTTGGGGAGTCCTCACTCGCAAGGCCTCCCAAGGTTGTGGTCATGAGTGCATGCTTCATGGCCTGAATCCCTTGGTGGAGGGAGTCCCCTCCTCCCCAGGCCTTGTCCGAACCTTGTTCATGTTCGGAGAAACGCTGGCCCTAGAAGGATCAGCTCAGCCACATTCTGCCTCGGGGGCTACCCAGGGCACCTGGCTGGCTGGCAACTTTGCAGACTGGGCCCTGGTGCCTGAGGACCCATCCTCCAAGCAGGCCCTGCCCCTGGGCCCCTCCAGGCTGAAGGTAGCTTTTCTGGGACTAGGGCCAGCCTCACATGGTCACAGGGGCTCCCATGTGTCCAGACACTGCTAGCCTGTCCCTGTCAGGCCTCCTGATGCTGCAAGTATCCAGTGGCACCTAAAGCGTGCCCTGAGAACCCCTGGGGGTGTCTTCAGGAATCCCATGACTGAGGACAAGTTCGGGGTGTGGGCTTCATGCCCCTTCACTCCACATGCAGACGGGTAGAACAGTGACCTCCCCTCCCACCCTTAGCAGCCAGAGTGCTCCCCACTGCCGGTGGGGCTGGATGGCTCCTCCAGGCCCGGCCCGCCTCCCTCGCTGGCCCTGGGCTCCACGCAGGACTGGGCCTGGGTCTGCCCAGCTGTCCATGCCCCCTTCCTCCCAGGCCCACACTTGAAGTTCCTGCAGGCCACCACAAGGGGGCAGGTGAAGCCCAGCTTCTTTGCTCCCCATTCAAGTCCAAAAGAGCTGTCTTTATTTCATCATCAGAAAACAAAACGTTGTCGGTCCCTCCCCTACCACCCCACCGGACAGTGTAAACAGGAGAGAGGTGCTGGTTAAGTTACTCATCATCTTATTAACAAAATAAAGCACTATCTATGTTTACAGTGTAGAAAAGTGTAGAGCAGTGGGTGGGAGGGGCAGGCCGACTCCACCCCTTGCCCCCTCCCTGCCAACAGACCTCGGTTCCCAAGTCCCCTCCCCAAAGAACATGAGCCCAGTCTCGGAGAGGACAAAACTCACCCCTTTCGGTGGATGTGGACCCCCACCCCGTGCCCAGGGGGAGCAGTGGAGACCAGCTGCCCTGCAGCCCCTTGCCACTCCCAGAAAGTGGGGTGGGGGTTGGGGGTCACCAGGAATCCTCCCAGTCCCACTCTTGGGACTCAGGTTGGGCTAAAAATGGCTCCTTGGGAACTGGCTGGCAGAGCCACGAGGGGTGAAGGGAAGGCCGAGGGGGCTGAGAACCCGGGAGGGAGGGGTAGGAGAGAGCCACGCAGGGACAAGGGAGACAGGACCACGGAACCTGAGATCCCAGACCACAAGGAGGTAGGCATTGGGACAAAGAGGAGCTCAGAGACAGGCCCCAGGCACTCCACCCAGAAGCCAGCAAGGCGCCTGTCCCACAGCACACACACAATAAATATCTTGTGCAATGAACGGACAGAACACACACACACACACATAGAGCAGCCTTGGCAGACAGCCCACCAGCCAGGGGCATCCTGGACGAGAGAGGAAGCAAAGCAGTGACCCAGGGGGCTGGGCGGTTGTCAGAGCCGTAGGTGGGCAGACCCTCCGGCTTGTCCTGGCCATGAGCCCCCAGGGGTCAGAGGCTCAGCCCCTTGGGCCCTGGCCCACATGGCAGGCCCTGCCCACCTGGGCCAACACGTCTCCCTGCGGGGGGAGGGGAGGCATGGTGGGGAAGGGTCTCCCTCGTGAACTTATCTACAAGCACAGCTCCACCCAGGCAGCAGCGTGGCCTGGGTCGGCCAGCTGTGTGGCTTGGGAGGAGGTCAGTCTGTGAGCACCACCAGCTCCCCATCGCTCTTCGCCTCCCCCTCGGAGTCGTCCTCGCTGTACCGGAATGCCTCGCCCTCGGCCAGCGAGTGCCGGTCATCGGCCGCCTCCCCCTCCTCACGGAGGCTGCACGTGTTCACGATGACGGGCATGTTGGGATCCAGGTTCGGGGGGATGTAGTGCTCTACCAGTGACTGCGCCAGGGGCATGCCAGCCGCCCGTGGGTACAGGGCTTCAGAGGAGCTCACCGGCACCTGGCCGGCCTGTGGCCTGCAGGGACAGAGAAAAGGGTGTGGTCACAGGTCCAGGGGCCTGCCTGGCACCCCAGCCCTGCCCCCACCGGGCCTCCCTCGGGCGGGCTCCCCCCACCGACCCCCTCCTCTTAGCTCCAGGAGGACTCACACACCCCGGGTCTCCTGCTCTGCTCTCCACTCGCCAGATTCAGCTACAGCCGCGGAGACGGCTCGGCAGACCCAGGGCCAGGGGTGGGGCGTGCAAGAGGGAGGAGTCTCGGAGGATTGCACGTCAATCTGATTTTCAAAAATTGCATATTTTAAATGCCCTGTGGACTTCAATTTAAGGAAGTCACTGGGGGTAAAATGCGGTGGTCACTGAGTACCTTCCTACATGACAAATAAGCACCCTAGTACTTGGACCCTTTACATGGTTACTGAGTCTGCCAGGAAATGGGATCCCAGGTGTGCGAATTGGGCCAGTCTCTGCAATCACACACACATACTATCGCCTCCCCTCTCCCCCAAAAGCCATGTGCACGCACACACACAGAGGCCTTGTAGCAGGTGGGCAGGGAGGGCCTGCTCACGGGATCACGTAGCTCTGCCGGGCATCCTGGCGCCTCGTACGCATCAGGGCCTTGTACTCGCCCACACGCAGCCGCTTGCCCTCCACGATGCAGGTGCGCTTGGGCCGCGGCTTGTACTTGTAGTCGGGGTACTTTTCCAGGTGCTGCCGGCTCAGCCGTGCCTGCTCCTCGTAGTAGGGCTGCTTCTCCTGGTTGGTCATGGACTTCCAGCGGGAGCCTGGCCCCGTGCCAGGGAGGAGGGGGAGAGGACAGGTAGTTAGTGCTGCCCTCTGAGGACCAGCTGCGGCCCTCCTGGCGTACCCCAGGAGCGGATTCCAAGATATTAAAAATGCAAGCACTCGGGCCCAGTGGCTCAAGTCCTCGCCTTGAACGCGCCAGGATCCCATATGGGCACTGGTTCTAATGCCGGCAGCTCCACTTCCCATCCAGCTCCCTGCTTCTGGCCTGGGAAAGCAGTTGAGGACGGCCCAAAGCTTTGGGACCCTGCACCCATGTGGGAGACCCGGAAGAAGTTCCTGGATCCTGGTTTCGGATCTGCGCAGCACCGGCCGTTGAGCTTACTTAGGGAGTGAATCATCGGATGGAAGATCTTCCTCTCTGTCTCTCCTCCTCTCTGTATATCTGACTTTCCAATAAATAAATATTAAAAAAAAAAAAAATGCAAGCACTTAGCAAGGGATTGACCCCTGGGGGCATGCGCCTTGGTTGGTGAGCAGATACATGAATGAAGTCAGCCCGTACAGGAGATACCCCGTTGCCAGCGTAGGGCTCAGCAGTCACCCACATCCTAAACCACAGAGGTCCCTGGCCTGCCCGATTTGCATGAAAAGAGCAGTTCCCCCATGCCCCCAGGCAGGGCTGCATGGTTCAGTCAACCAGGAGCCCAGCTTTGAAAACAGCTGGCCTTGTCTTTGCCTGCTCTGTCCTCCCTCTTCTTCAGCCTCCAATCTGGGGTATTAAACACCTTGCCACTGTCAGCCCAAGAATACTAGTTTCTCTTCCATTTGCTGCCAGGGCCAGGCAGGTGGGATGGGGCTAGGGAAAGATCAGGCTGTACATTCTCTTCCCTTCTTTCCCCTACAAAATCTTAAGAACAGGTACCTAGCCATGCTGCAAGACGCCAGAGCCCAACTGTCCCCTCCTTCCCAACTCCAACCCCCATTAGACTCCACGGGAGTGCTGCATGGTGAGTGCCATCACCAGGCAAGTCCCCAAGTGCAGCCAGCCAGGTCCTGTTGGCTACCCGGAGGGCCCATTCCCTGGCCCTTACCAAGGATCTTGCTGATACTGGAGTTGTGCATGTCTGGGAAGGCTTGGAGGATCTTCCGGCGCTCGTCTTTGGCCCACACCATGAAGGCATTCATGGGCCTCTTGATGTGGCTGCTGTTGCGGGACTCCGGGAAGGGGCGGGAGCCTGGGGACAGAAGTCTGGGGTAGCAAAAGTCCTCTGGGACTGCCAGAGAGCTATGTGCTGTTTGACCACTAGGAGGTGCCCACAGCTAGCAGCCAGGGGAAGGGAGGTGGGAGGCCTAGCAGGCAGGAAAGGCAGGGTGCAAGAACGCTCACCGTCCAAGTCACAGCTCAACATGGCTTCCTCCAAGGGGTGCCCACAGCTCTCCTCCAGCCTCTCCTTGGCTGGGGATGAGTCCAGGCTGATGAGGTCCTGTGGACAGCACCAGGGGTGAAGTGTTGCAGCAGCCCTAGGCCTCCCCAGCCCCGCCCCTTGCTTGCTATCCTGCCTCCCTGCCACACCTGTTCCTGCTCACAATGGGGCTGGGGAGAGTGGGGGACGGGGACGGGGACGAGGCTGCGGAAACCCATACCTTACGGAAGGGAGCTCCAGGGGCACTTTCCAAGGCCCCGGGGTGGCCATGCAGCAGCTGTCGGGCATCCTGGATGGCTTTGGTCACTGCATCCCCGTCTCCAAGAAAGCCTGTGGAGGAGGGGTCAGAGCTGAGGGGTGGCAGGGTGTCAGCCTGAACTCACCACTGCCAGGAGCTAGGAGTTAGTGCCTCCAGGAGCAACTGCAGCACAGACACCCACAGGAAGCAGGGGTGTGTGCATGCTCAGTGGCTGGGGCGCGTACATCTGGGGTGAGCATGCAGTCTAGAAACAGTTTGCAATCCCAGGACTCTGTGTGACCCAGCAGCCTGCAACCCCAATGTTGAGACCAGCACACAGTCTAGTCCCTCATTCTATTAACCCAGAAACCAGAGACAGGAAGGGTCCCACCAAGTCCCATCATGTGCACTGTCGGATGCTCACCGAGAGGCAGGCTGGGGGGACTGGCCTGCAGGTCCCGCGTGGGGGCCCCGTGGCTGGGCGGACGAGGTCCACAGCTGCTCAGCTTCAGGCTGGGGGAGCTGGAGGTGCCAGGCAGCTCAGGGACCTTGGGTTTGGCTGTGAGGTTCAGAGGCTGGGAGGGCTCCTGGGGGAGACCCTGAGGTTAGGGAGCATGGGAGGGACAGACAGAACCTGAGCCCGGTGCTCCCGAGGCCAGAAGGAAAAGCAGTCTCCCCTGCCCATCCACCCGCCTGTCCATGGTACCTGCATGGGGAGGTGGGCGGCCACGGCCGAGGGTCTCTTCATGGTCGGGGCAGGCGGGCTGTGCAGCAGCTGCAGGGGGTACTCCACTGTGGAAAGGGTGGCAGAGAGAGAAGTCCTGGATGGGTGAGCACAAAACAGCAGAGGCTGCTGGACCAGGCCCCAGCCCTGAAGGCCAGCAGAGGCTGGGAGTCACACTCTACACCCCAAAACCCTGCTGGGGGGCCTCCTGCACCTGCTTGTCCACTGGCCCACTGAGGGGCAGCCACCTTTAACCTGGCCCTGCACTTCCCAGCCCACTCTGAAGTGGCTGCCAATGGCACTGGGGGGAGTAGGCACGGCCCATGTATCCAAGGCAGGCCTGCTGCGCCCAGGGCACACAAGCAGCCATCTGGCCTGTGTGTGGTGCCCACCACAGCACCACCCCTCTGTGCCAATAAAGAAACCAAGACCTTAGATGTCAATGGGTTGCCAGAGGAGACAGACAGTGAACATTGCTGGGGTCCGTGTGATGGGTGTGGAAGACAGGAAGGTGTGTAGAGTATCGTTCTATTGCAGGCAAGGCTGCAAGGAACTTCCCGCTGTGTGGCAAGGCCCGGTGGATGTCTCTACAACACCTGAATGTAGCTCTGCCTCCCTTTGCATGGACACTGGACAACCCCGCTGAGTATTCTGTAATCTATTTAGGCATTGTCTGCCTCTGCGGAGTTACTGTTAAATATCAATAGGAACTTAGAAGCTGATGTTGCTGTTACCGTTTTTTTAGCCAAAGAGCTGTTATTGCTGTTAGGGCTGTGTCCTGTGGCAATATGTTAATCAAGAGTGTTAAATCCCCTTTTGATCCTATGCTAATCAAGGGTGTTCTGTCTTCAGGTGTAGTGGGAATCTATTCTTTCCCTCTTTCTTTGATCTTTTAGGTCCCTCCTGTGAAGCCCTTCCTTCCTTGACTGTCTCAAGACCAAGCTGTAGAGTAATTGTGGTAGGAATGTGTTAGTGATTGATATGCACCATCTATTGAGAACCTTTTCCTAGCCAGGCGCCAGGTGCCAGGCACCAAGTGAATAACATCCTAGCCTTAGATGAAACAAATGGCTCCGGCAGAACATGGCACTGGGACTCAAACCCATGTCTTCCGGCCTCCACAGCCCAGCCTCCCCCTCCTCCCTCTCCCTTCCACCTGGCCCAGCCTGCTCCCCCCCCCACACCCCCCCACTCCCGCACCAGGCTCAGCATCCAGGAGTTGACAGTTCAGGTAGTGAGATAAGCCTGGGTACATGGCAGGTGGCACCCAGGGCAGTGTGCCCGAGGACTTTGCTCAGCTAGAGTGCCGAGGGCAAGTTTCCTTGGGAAAGTGGGCGGGGGAGAGGGTGGGCACAGGATAGTACAGCTTCAGACAGGTGCAAAGGAGGGAATATGGTAGCCCCAAGTCCCCAAGGCCCCTGTCTAACTCAGCCTCTAAGTGGCCCAAGAGGGTGGGACTCAGAGTGGCTGGAGGGAGGGATGAGGGACATACTGCAGGACACTACCTGCCAGGATTCAAGAGCAAGCAAGCAAGCAGGTGGCAATGCCGGCTTATCTCCTGTCTGCTGCTCCTGAAGCGCTATGCTGTCCCGCGTATCTGGGAGGCCTCTGCCCCACTGGCTCTGGGCTCTGGAGCTGCCTCTTCCTTACCCACCAGGCTCCCATCCCTACCCCATTCCCAGCTTACTGGAAGAGCCTTCTAAATGGCTGGTGCAGAGCCCTGGCTAGGCCATTGAACACAGCACAGCCCGGCTGCCCCACATACATGGTCTCGCCCACATCAGATCATGGAGGTCCCAAGAGAAGACTTGGCCCGTCTACATGGAGTAGATGTTGGAGCCTAGCACCTGCAAACCTTGGGAGGAAGGGAGAGCGAACAGGTATCTGGCCAAGACTGCATCCTAAGTCAGAATGTCTGGCTTAGCTCCACATTTCCAGCTGCCTGCTAAGGCAACACCCTGGGAGGCAGTGGGCTACACTCAAGGTCTTGGGTCCCTGCCACCCACTGGGAACACTGGGGCCAGGGGTGAGCTCCCACCTCTGCCTGGCCCAGCACTAGCTGATGAGAGCATTTGGAGAGTGAACTAGCAGAGGAAGGATTCTCTTTCTGCCTTTCAAACCACACACAAAAAAATACCAATCATTTTTAAAAAAGACTTTTGGAGTTATTGAGAAGGACAAAGTATGATTTACATGTGAGGATTCGAGGGTAGGGGGCGAGACCTTACACCATGGGGGTCTCCCTAAAATCCCCACTGTTCCAGGTGATATGATAGGAGATGGGGCCTCTGGGAGGTGGCCAGGGGCCAGGAGCTGGTCCTCTTATAAAGTGGCCTGCAGGAGCCCTATCCCTGACTCATCAACAGGCCCAGCTAGATGGGCCGGACCATGAAGCAGGAGGCATGCCCTGCACCCTGACTGTGTACTTTCAGCTGCCACACCGTCAGAAACACTGGTCCCTCATCAATAGGTCTCTTGGCCCACGGTGAGCCAGACCTGACCCTTCCAGCCCTCCCCACAGTACCTGGTTGTCACCAGGCAGGGACAAGAGGCAGTGGGGCTGGCCTGTGAGCACCCCTGATCTAACCATCTGTTCTCCCAGCATTTGGCCACGTGCCACCTCGGGAGGCTTTCCTGGATTCCCTGATGCTCACTGCCTCTTCTTCCCTCCCTGGCCTCTGTGGCTGAACCCCCAGCCCCACACTCACCTGGTTTGCAGGGGATGGGCTGGATGGGCAAGGCCAGTTGGGAGTCGGGAGCGACAGGCAGAGGCTGGTGGCTTGGGGGAAACGCTGGGATCATGACATAAGGCATGTTGACCTGCTGAAGGCAGAGAAAACCTGGGTGAGTTCCCGCAGCTGGGACCAGCACACGGTGCCCATGGGGCCAACCTGACCCACTGCCACTTCCACGGGGCCATGTGTACCTGCCCACAGGTCTTAGCTGGGGAGGAGGATGTTCCGGAACCCTCATTTAAAGAGAAGCACAAAGCAAACGCCCCCCCCCCCCGGCAAAGGCAAGCCTGAGTCCCTTGGGACCCCGCGACTCACCTGGATTTGCTGCTGGAGGAGGTTAATCTTGTGCTGCTGTTGGACCAGCTGCTGCTGCTGCTTGGCAATCTGGAAGACAGTGATCGGTGGTGGGCAGGGGGCTCGGCCGCCCGCCCCAGCCCCGTTCCCCTGCTTTCCAAGACGAGCACCCAGCCTCCAAAAAGCCCAGCCCAGGAAGGAAGCAGAGAGCAGCAGCTAGTTCCCCCAGGTTCCCTTCAGCACCAGCCTATGTTGCCTTCTCCTGGGGGCTCCTGGGCCTGCCTCAGGCGGGTACCCCCGATGTCCTCGCCTGCCGCCCATCCCGGGAGGGAAGCCAGTGGCTGCACAGGGACCCCCAATGTCCCTGCCTACTGCCCCTCCCGGGAGGGAAGCCGATGGCTGCACAGGGCCCACCTGCTCCTGCTGCTGCCGGGCCAGCTCCATCTGCTGCTGCTGCTTCTCAAACAGCATGGCCGCCATGTTCTTCTGCTCCGAGTGGGCGGTCAGCAGCTGGTCGCGCAGGGTGGACAGCTGATGGATCATGACCAGGAGCTGCAGCTCCTTCTCCGCCAGGCTCTCCTGGGTCCCTGCTCCACGGCCAAAGTACCAGGTTGCTTCACTTGGCCACCTGTTCACCCCACATTTACTGAGCACCTGCTACATCCTAGATGCCTGTTAGGGGCTCAGCGACAGAGATGACAACCCCCGATTCACTTCCTGGCAGGGAGCTCATCCTGCAACAGCACAACAAGCTGGCCTATAAAGTCCCCACCATTCACTCATGACCTGGAGAGGGCAGCAGTGGGCATCTCAGCTCCACTTCCCAAGTGCCCACTTCCACAAGGTTGAGTAGACACCTGTCCAATAGTGGGGGCCAGCGGGACACCCTCAGGCTTTGCAGTCTGACAGATCTGGGTTCAAACTCCCACACAAACCCGCCCTGTCAGAGAGGTGTGAGGCGAGCTATAGCTGTCCACATGCTCGCATTTTTCAACACACAAGCAGGCACAATAATAGGAAACACTGTAAAAACGTGTGGGAAATAGAAAAGCCTGTCTGGAGGCAAAAATTTTAAGACTGATTTATTAATTCTGAAAGGGAGGGTTACCATGAGAAAGACACAGAGAGAAACAGAACAAGATCTTCCATCTGCTAGTTCATTCCCCAAATGGCTGCAACAGCCAGGGCTGAGCCAGCTTAAAGGCTGGAGCCAGGAACTCCCATCTGGGGCTCCCACAGCAGAGTGCAGCACCCAAGCACTTGGGCATTCTCTGCTGCTTTCCCAGGAGCATTAGCAGGGAGCTGGACTGGAAGTGGAGCAGCCAGGGCTCAAACCGGCATTCATACGGAATGCCAGCATTACAGGCAGCAGCTTAACCTGCTGCACTCTCAAGATAAGAGGTGGGCGAAGATGTTGGGAATTCACGCCTGTAGGTGGCTTTCCACAAGTTCAGGGGAATTGCGTATTGTGGAAGAACTATGCACCAGTTTTGAAGCACTTTTTGCAGTAGCTTTGTAAGCACATACAGCAGCACCGCAGGGGATAAAGGTGCTAAGAGCTGGAAGGCTCGGTCGCCAGGCAGCAAATGCCAGGTCATGGCACCATCCCACAGCACAGCTCTTGGGCGATGCAGGAGGAGCCCCCAAACCTTGGGGTTCTCACTCAGAGTGTAGGGAGTGCCCCAGGCATCTGCATTATGGCAAAGTCCCTCTGTGGCTGTTACTGACCACACAGGCTACAGGCCTTGTGTCACCACATCCTGATGCCTCAGGGGTGCCCGAGTGGTCTAGCCCTCCTTCCTGGAATGGAATGGTAGTGGGCTGCTCATTTTCCAGCTGGCCCTGGGAAGCAGCAGTGACATGTCCAAAGCCACAGGTCCCTGGTCAGTAAGAGGCCAGAACCAGACCCAGGGAAGTTCATTCCATCCCCTCTCCCCACTACCATGGGCATGTGCCAGAGGGTGGTAATAAAAGCCAGGCAGGAGTCTCATGGGCCAGGGTCATTGTCACATGCCCCAGACCAGCCCCACAGCCCCCAGTCTGCCTGGCTGGGCCTAGTAATGAGAATTGGGTTCAAGCATCTCCCCCTGCCCCTCCTCCCAGCCTTCACCTTTAACATCTTTGGCTTCCATAGGGCTCCTTCCCAGAAACCTCTCCTTCCAGTCACCGGACAGCAGCTTCTCGATGGCTGGTACCACTGCCAGGCCGTAAAGCGATAAGCAGTCAGGGCCTGGCCCCACCCACCCCACTTTGCCCTGCCCCATCCAATGGCATCCTGACCCAGCCCTGCCCACCTCATCCTGCCCTGACCCCATCTATCCTACCTTTCTCTGGCCCCACCCACCCCATCCTGCCCAGCTCCACCCTCCCCATCCTGCCCTGGTCCCACCCATCTGTCTGGCCCTGCCCCACATCTCACCTTCTTTCAAGTTCTGGCTGAAGTCCAGCTTCTCCTGACTTCCAGATGCAACCTCCGAGGCTGCTGGTCTCTTGGGCTCTGGGGACCCATTGCTCTCTGGGGAACCACTGTCCTGCAAAACACAGTGAAGATCGCGTGTGCCACGAGAGAAAAGGGAACAGACCACAGGGAGGGCCAAGCACCCCAGGTGCTCACACTGGGGACCCTGACTCCACCAGGCAGGGCCACAGGTGCCCACCTGCCCAGCTACAGCTTTGTATTTCCTGGTAGAATCCTGGTCCTCAAGTGCGGGCTCAATGACTTACAGGTGCCTGAGCCCACATGAGCCCCGCCCCCTTCATTCTTCTGAAAACAGAACCATAGGCACGGCTGTGGGGGCAGACCAGGCTCCCCTATCTGTAAGGCCTAGCTTGAGGTCTTCCTCCTCTAGGAAGCCTTCCTGGTCACCTCCAACACTCTCTCCCCTCCTCCCTCGACTACCCTCCATCTAAGCCAGACTCCTCTGGGAGTCCCAGACCCACCTATTCACTCACTTGGCTTTTATTCATGCCCTGCTCTCCTCTATCACCTGCCTGGCATCACAGAATTCTTAAGAGCTGCGAGATTCTGGATGGGTCACAGAATCCAGTTCCTTCCTTGGGTGCCTTACAGAGCTGGCTCTTCTCAAACCCTATGGAGGTGCTTCCAAGGCCAGCCTTCCAGCACGCGTACCCCGATTCACCCTGTGAGACCTCAGGATCAGGGACTGGGACATGGGAGTGACCTGGCAGTAGCAGGTGGGCAGGGCAAGAGCAGTTTCCTTCCTTCCTTCTAGCCTCTTGCCTCCAACGAGGCTCACATCTGCCTGCACCTGCTCCCAGTCCATCCCCAGTTGAGGAGAGGCCAGTGATGGTACACGATGCAGGGAGGCCATAGGAACAGGGCTGGGGGGAGTACCTGGGCTGGAGGTTGGGGGTCAACAGAGTCCTGTGGCTGTGGGGGCCGGGCTGGGTCTGCAGGCTGGGGCTCCTCCTCAGGGGCCAAACCCTGGGGGACTTCGTGGCTAGGCTCCTTTCTCTCCTCTGACTTGATGGTGCAGTTCACCATGGTGCCAACGCCATCCAGGGCCAGCTGGGCAGAGATGGGGCTCCTCATGGACATCCTAGGGGCGGGGAGGGCAGAGTGAGCAGGGCCTGTGGTCAAGTACAGACACCCACCCCAGGGGTCCCAGGGCAGGGCAGCAAGCCTCCCTCTGCACCAGTGCCTCCTGGCACACACTCCTTTCCCCCTCGAGCAGGCTACATCAGATAGAACTGTCGGAGGGGAAGATGCAGAAAAACCAGCCAAGGCCCTTCTGTCCCTCAGGTTGTGTTGGTGATTAGAGGCTCCTGTTTGTTTACAGTGTGGGGATGTCAGGCTGCAGGAGACACCAAGAAAGCTAGGGATTGTCCTGTTTGTTGAATTTTATCTCATCTGTTTACTTATTTGAAATATGGCATGTGTGTGCACATGCATGCAGATAGAGAAAAAGAGAGATCTTCCATCTTCTGGCTTACTCCCCAAATGCCCATAACAGTGAAGGCTGGTCCAGGCTGGAGCCATGAACTCTATCCAAGTTTTCCACTTGGGTGACAAGGACCCCCAAGTACTTGAGTCACCACCTGCTGCCTCCTGGAGTATGTATTAGCAAGGAGTTGGATCTGGAGCGAGGCCTGGAATTGAAGTCAGGCACCTCCACATGGGATACGTCCACTCTAAGTGGTGCCAAACCACAGCACCAAACACCTGCCCTGTGGCAGGGAGTCTCAACTGGCAAGCACAAATGCCCAGAGCAAGCTAAACAAAATCCATACTGTTGCAAATGTTGGCTAGAACTAGTAGCAGCTACAGGCTGGCAGGCCTTGCTCCCCCAAGGAAGCTGAGGGGATCCACTACCCTCTATGAGCCACTGATTTATTTTTCTTTCCTTTGGTCTTAAAGACAAAAGTAAAATGTTGCCTACATATTGCTACCAAAAGCAAGAAAAAAAAGTAACAGGCTAAGAGATGACTAGCTTTAAGAAAGCCATTTTCTGAGGTCTGCCTCTGTGGTTGCCTGAATTTACAGCCCCTGGAAGATGCTCCTGAGACTGCACCTGCTGCATCCATTATTGTCGGGGACACAGGCAGGAGCTGAGCAGCCCTAGCATCTCGGGAGTCGTTTCCAAATGGGGTTACACAGGCTCAGGGCTGAAGCAGGGGTGGCTACCAGTGCCTCCTGCCTTGGCTGTTGGACCAACAACGTGACCTCTGGTAAGTTGCTTAGCCCCTCTACACCTCGGCTTCCTCATTTATAAAATCAGCACAAGAGACCTAATCTTACAGGGAGATTGTGAGGACCACAAGTAGAAAGCCTAAGGCATGGGGCTGAGGCTGGGGTGCAGCATGTAAAGCCGCCACCTGCAGTGCCAGCATCCCATATGGATGCCGCTGTGAGTCCCAGCAGCTCTACTTCTAATCCAGCTCCCTGCTAATAAAGTACCTGGGAAAACAGCAGCAGATGGCCCAAGTACTTGCTCCCCTGCCACCCATCTGGGGTCCTGGATGGAGTTACAGTTCCTATCTTTGGCCTGGCCAGCTCCGGCCATTGTGGCCATAGATGAAGACACCTCTCTATTTTTCCCTCTCTCAGTAATTCTGCCTTTCAAACAAATAAAGCTGTGGTGGAGAAGAGGGGAACCTGAGGCACTTGGCATTTGTTGGACTTGCTGGCCGTAGTCCCCCGGTATCTGTGGAGACGGATTCTAGGCCTCCCACCCCCAAGGATGCCACTGTGTGGGAGTGCAATGCTATGGTACCCTCTACACATAACCCCTGATACCTTATACAAAGCATTCAAGTATCAGGTCAGGAGTTGTTCATAATCTTGTAGTTTGAATGTGTCCCTCAACTCTTGACATGCTGGAAATTTAACCTACAATGCCAGCCTATAGGGCAGTGGAGCCTGATGAGTGGTGATCGGGTTAGAGGGTTCTGTCCCCATGCCCCCACTGGCACGGTTTAACACCCTTAACTGGGTTGTCTCAGGGCAGCAAGGTCAGCAGGTGGGCTATGCTGAGAAGGGGCATGCACTCCTTGCCCTTTCCCCTTTCTGTCCCAGGATGAGTCAATAAGCAGATCCTTGCCAGATGCCTGAAGGACGCTAAGCGACAACCTCTGCTCTCCCTATACTGCCCAGTCAGGCCGAGGCAGGGCACCAAGACAGAGGGCTGCTGTCCCCAGACACTGGTGGCTCTGGGCTTTTTCGCACCTGGACTCCACAGCCATCTTCTACCCCAGCGTGCCCCTCAAAGACACACAGGTACAAGTTTAAAGATGTCCCGTCTGGCCTATTGTGCAACAAAGCACAAAAAGGAGTGAAGTGCCCAGGGGTTCCAGCTTCCGGGGATACATCAGATCCAGATCACATAGGGTCTGATTTTGAGTGAAACCACAGGCTGGGTGCAGTGGAGTCGGTGCCCCTTTGGGCAAAACTGTGAATAGCAGTGCACACTGCTCCCAGCTCTTTGCCCACAGACGGCACACTTGTCCCATGCCACCCAGCACACATCCCAGACTGGGCTGAAACCGCCACAGTCTGAAACAGACCTGCCACACTGGCTTGGCTTTCCTTCCCCTTCTTACTTTTTCTTACTTAGCAACCTCGGCAATCCATGAGGGCTAGAACCTCCACCTGCCACGGACGGGAAGCCCTTCAGAGCTTCTGCCTGGCAGTGCTCAGCACCCTTGCCAAGTAAAACACCAGCTGCTAGAACATTCACACTGTACCACCACCACCAGAGGGTCTGAAAACCAACACGGCCACTGAGGGACATGGCAATGGTGGCAGGAGGGTGTGGGTAGCAGGTGTTTCAATACAGGAAGGGTGGCATCCCAGGTGGAATGGAGCAGGCACAGTGTGAGGTTTCACCACGCTACCTAGGACAGTGTGAAACATAAAACTTGAGAGTTACTTCTGGGACTTTCCGTTTCATGTTCTTGTTCCAAGTGGCCCACAGGTAACTAAATCTCACACAAGGCGGGGACTAGATGAATATGTAGCCATCCACGGTATCCCGTGCACACCAAAATCTGCAGCCATCTAGGTTCTTTATAAAACACATGGTATTCCCATGTAGCCTTCTGTATGCCTCATGTCCTCTTTTCTCAAACATTTATTTGAAAGGTGAGTTGCAGTATTGGTTGTGGTAGGGAATCTTCCATCTGCTGGCTCACTCGCTGAATACCTGCAAGTCAGGACTGGGCCAGGCTGAAGTCAGAAGCCTTGAATTCCACCCAGATCCCCCAAATGGGTGGCAGAAACCCATGTACTTAACTCATCCTCCACTGCCTCCCCACGTGCATTAGCAGGAAACTGGATTGGAAGTGGAGCAGCCGGGACTCAAACCCAGGCCTCTAATATGAGATGTGGCATCCCGAGCAGTTTAAGCAGCTGTGCTACATCTAACGCAGGCCTCTCTCTTCTAGGTTATTTCTAATGTCCCACACAGCATAGCTACCCTGCAGAAAGCTACATTCCCCAGCTTAGGGAATAAAGGCAATTCTGTACCACTGTCGCTGGGTCTATTTGTACTCCATGGGCATGGGACCCACTGGGGTACAGAGGCAGCTGGGCAGACATGAGGCCTGCCAAACGCTGCCTCGGATGTGTGCCCTGTGTGGTCACGGCACCCAGCACCAAGAGCACACACTTGGCATTCTGGACGCAGTAACTGTTTCCACATGAGGTCATCACAGCTATTCCACTTGATTCCACCCACAGAACCCATTAGACTAATTCTGCTGCTCACCCAACTTTCAGCATGGAACTCAGGCCAGGCACTGCAGAGTGACCCTGAGAACGTCGGCCCCACCCCATTTAGAGGAAAAGAGGGGGTCCACTCCAACTACCACTGTGAGGAGGAGAGTTGATGGGGGGGGCATTCCTGGAGTGCCACTTGGAGGAGGTGGCTCAGCCCTTCCCTTCCGTGGCTTGGGAGGGGCAGGAGCCAGGCTCCCACCCCAGGGTAAGGACAGGGGTGGGGGGCTGGGGAGACAGGGAGGGGGTATTATCCTGAAGCTGAGAGCAGCAATTACATAACCAACCAACCCCGGCTCAAGCTGTGAATTAATCAAACCGCTGAAAATAAAACCTTCCTCTCAGGAACTTCAGACAAAAGAAATGAAAACAACCAGGCTGGCTGGAAAATAAAAGGCAGCAGCCCTGAAAGGGGGACAAAGGAAGCCAGACAATAGGGTGCTGGACAAAAGCAATAAAGCCAAAGGAAGTGTGACAGGCACACAATGCGGCCTGCGGGCTTCTGATCCAAGGCTGCTGCGCACGGCCTCGTCCCACACCCACCGGGCCGCGGGCCACCGGCTCGGGTCCTGAACACTCCCTCCTCCGGCTCAGCCCCAGCTCCACGGCCTTCACAGCTCCCACCTCCAAGCTCTTCTTCCCACCGGGGCCCCAGACCTCCCGGGTGGCAGCCAGGGGGGGGCATGGGCGTCGGCCCACCTCCAGCCCAGGTGGAGGCCAAGAGGAGGGCTCACCCGCAGCAAGAAGCCCCAGGGACAGGCCTTGAACCTCTCCTTCCTCACCACAAGGTGGAATGGCAGCGTTGGAGATGGGCCTGGTTGGAGGAAACGCTGATCAGGAAAATCCCCCACCCCTGTTTCTCGCTACACTTTGCTACACGGCTGCTAAGTAACTGCCTCGACCTCCCTCCCGTGCCTCCCTCTACCCTCCCCCCCCAATCCCGCACCCTCACCCCCGGGCTCTCCGGCACAGTGCATCTTCTGCCCACCCTGTGCCTGGGTTGGTCCAGCAGGTACTGCGGGGGAGCTTGCCAGCCTTGAACACAGCACAAAGGAAACACGGGGCACCTGGTGACCACCAGATAACCCTGCCAGACTCTGAGCCCAGATGAGGGGCCTAGCATTGGCACGGCCGCCTGACTCAGCTGCAGGCACTGGGCACGGGTCCCATTTGTGGAGGGAGGGGTGACAGCTCAGCCCATGGACACTTCTTTTGCTGCCCTCCCTGTTTTGCCTAGCACAGGCCTTTGAAAAGAGTAGCCCTTCCAAGCCACCCTGCCCACACCCTGCCTAGGCCCACGGGTCTTACATCTCTCCAGGGAGAGGG